AAAAAAAAAAAAAAAAAAAAAAAAAAAAAAAAAAAAAAAAAAAAAAAAAAAAAAAAAAGAGTAAAACAGTCTTTTCTTTCGGTTCATTGTGTAGAATCTGGTTGTAATATTTATTCTATCCTGTCCACATCGATCTCGAGCCTCATCCTCACGTTCATAGTCATAATGGCAAAGAAAATAAGGATCGGCAATCTTATGCGCGCCTGCCAGCCAAGGTTTAGCGAGAAAAGCATGGCTCGGTGTAAAATTCCGCCGCAACCGAAGAAAAACAGCTCCCGCGACATCTTCTTGTGCGGCTGGGTACTTGGTTCTTTTCGTCGAAAACCGGCTGAGCCAACGATGGAAGCAGCTGTTGCTTCGATTTTGACGTTTCTCTCTCTCTTTCTCCACGAAATCGAAGTTAACCTTAAAATTGTAATGTTTCGTACGAAATTATAAAAGAACTTTTAATTTTTATTGGATAGCGGACAATAATGTTAAGTTTTCGTTCAAAACTAGATCATTACATACGAGCAGCTTAGATTCAATGAAAAAAAACAATTATTATTATTATTATTATTATTATTATACTCATTAGCAAAAAAAATAAATTAAAGCACTCATCATTTTTACGTATAAAATTAAACAAATTGGCGTAAAAAAGTTATTTTTTCGCGTTTTATCGTTAAAAGTTTTGCCACAAAGATTTTATTTACGATTACTGAAACTTTATTGAGTTTAACGAAAAGAAAAAAGAAAAAAAAAACTAAAATTGTCAATTATTCCTTACCTGGACCAGCGAATGTCAAAGGGCCTCAATCATGTTTGCGACATCCACCTCGACGTCAAACATTTGCCGATGTTCGGGAATTCTTATCACTTATTATTACAATAACCGAGAACTCCGGCTGACAGTCGTCCTTCGACGGCTCGCCCACCATGACTTGTTTGGGTATATGTGCAGTGGGTTAATAATACAACAAAAACAACAGTAAAGATAACAAATTGGGATGAGACCTCCACCTTATCGGTCAGCATTTTATACAACAATCGTTTTGTTCCAAAATCTATCTACAGATGACTCTTGCGTGGTTTTCCGTTTGAAAAATATGAAATCAAATGACAACTGTTTATTAATGTTTACTTACATGGGTTTTTAATAGTTTATTGTGAAAAAATTGCATTTTGTGGTGAAAAAATTTTTAAGCTTTAAATTGCGGGGCGTTCATTTGTTTGTTAAAAATGTAAAAGCGTTTTGCATTCGTTTATTTAGAGGTGACCTCAAACATGTATCAAATACACCAAAGAGAGCTTGATTTATTAGTTACGTAAATGGCAAATCAAAGTTGGACATAATATACGTGACTTGATATGATAAAGAGATCGAAACTTAAACCAGACCCAGTGCCACTGAAGTCGCATCGCACGGACGGACATACCGTAAGGTATTTTTTTTTTTTTTTTTGTTAAAACAAAATTCAATTTCTTTAATTATTTATAGATAAATCTAGCTTTTTTTATGATTTAAAAAAAATTAACTTTTAGTAATGAAATTGGAAGTGTTGTTGAAAATTACAAAAAGAACCACCGACAATTTCTAAAAATTCAATAGACATCAATAATCAGAGTCATAAAATTTATCTACAAAAGTTTCTGCTCTGCAAATGAAAAATAAACGACGTCGCAATGCATCGACCTTGTCCTTGATTTATTCTTAAAACGCGCACCTTATCACCGCTTGAGAAAAAAAAAAAAAAAAAAAAAAAAAAAAAAAAAAGTACTCTCATTTATTGCACTTTGGCAAAGACGGAGTTTAAATGTTTACAACCCTGTGAAACGTTGAATTTTCATCCTCCAATATTCTTTGTCATTAGGTATAAATTAGCCTCCATCGTCGTTTCTTCTGTTCAACTAAAGTGCAGCCATGAATATCAGTTTCGAAGGAAAGCGCATCCTCGTCACCGGAGCTGGTCAAGGTACCACATGTCATTTTCTAATTTTCAAACCCCCTGCCAAAATAAACTAAAAATATCGTAATATACACGAATCATCAGGAATCGGTCGAGAAACGGCTCTCCGGCTCTCGAAATTCAACGGCACGGTCGTAGCTCTGTCGAAAACCCAAGCGAACCTCGATTCTCTGAAAAAGGAAGACCCGAAAATCCAGACTGTCTGCGTCGACCTCCGAGACTGGGACGCGACGAAAAAGGCCGTTTCGACTGTACTACCGATCGATCTGTTGGTCAACAACGCCGGGATCGCGATTCTTGACCCGTTCCTCAATCTCAAGCCTGATGACTTTGACGCCACTCTCAATGTCAATGTTAAGTCTTACATCAACGTGTCGCAGATCGTAGCGAAAGACATGATTAATAGAAAAGTTCCGGGAAGTATCGTCAATCTGTCGTCCGCTGCTAGTCTGGTAGCTGTGAAAGACCACGCGACGTATTGCTCGGCGAAGGCCTGCTTGGATATGTTGACAAAGTTGGTTGACAATCATCATTTTCTTTTTTTTTTTTTCCATACACCATAATAACATACAACATTCCTCGAACTTTGTTCATCCGAATTCTGTTTAAAAAAATCGTTTGACATTTTTTTATACTTTTTTTTCATTGGTCCACAGAAATACTGAGTTATTTTTTTTTATCGCAAATTACTTAAGGCGAAACACGCATTTATTTGTAGAAAAACGTTACGAACGACTGTTTATTGGAAATCGAAGAACAGGCGTGTCGATCTTCTTAAGGTACAATACTAAATGTTGATTTTTGCATCATTACAGAAAAAAAAAAAAAAAAATTACTGGCTACGGATTAAAAAAATCCAAGTTTAGAGGCATGATCATTTAATTATGTTTATATACATATATCCGCGTATTAATACAGTATCACAAAAATTTGAAATATTTTGAAAAATTATAGTGTGTCAACCCGACTTTGAACTCATTCTACAAAAAAACAATACTCCCTAAAAATTGAAAGCAGACATTTTAATATTCAAGCGTACTACTATTGTGGAAAAAGGGGATTTTTTGGGATGCATAAATTTGTTTTTTAAATTAATGCTACTCAATATTATTGGTAAATAAAAAAATTGCTTCAATAAAATATATTAAAATAATTGTGATTTTATGGCCAGAGTTATGGCTTTGGAGTTGGCCCCTTACAACATCCGAGTTAACACGGTTAATCCAACGCTTGTCATGACAGCGATGGGAAAAGCGAATTGGAGCGATCCGGATAAGGCTGCCACTTTAAGGGTGAAAATTCCGATGGATCGATTTGCAGGCAAGATATGAACATTATTACCTCAGTTGTTGCTGGATTTCGATGGTTATTAAATAATTATGTAAAATCCGTTTTCTTGTAGAACCTTGTGAGGTTGTGGATTCTATAGTATTTCTTCTGAGTGACAGAAGCGCGATGACTACCGGTTCTGCGGTGGTCATTGACGGAGGGTACCATATACAGTAAATTTGCACCATACTCGAAGTGTAAACCAAGTCGAAAATATTTTAATATTATTGTTAAAAACAAAAAAATTCCATAAATGTAATTGAATTGAATTGAATGTAAAAAAAAAATAAACTCAAAAATTTTTAAAACACTTTGACATGGCTTGTAATAATTTCCCGCAAGAATAATTAATTTATCAATTAATTCGTTCAATAATTTGAACAAGTGTTAGATAAGAAAGTCATGAATTTCAAGACAGATAATTGTCATGAAGCATAAAATTGTATTAAAAAATGGGTAAAAAACGCAAAAATGGCACACATTAATCAATATTTGCTCTCTCGTCTTTAGAATTGTATGCGAGGCAAGCCTAGTACTGGGATGAGTGTAAGCAAATATTACGTCAATAAGGACATTAAAGCGCCCGACGCAGCTCAGGTAATAACGCTGCTTACTACGATATGGTTAGATGAAAATTTTTTTTACGTCAGACACCACAATCACATAGATTTTATAGATAATGATCTTGATACGTTGGAGGAAAATGTAATAGCATATAATATTGAGATAGACCAATTGCTTTGACATAAAAAAAATATCCTTATATTCCATGAACTTGTAAACTACTATACTGCACGTATAAAGAGTTTTGGCAATATTTAATTAAATATTAAAATTACAATGTCTGTGTAATATTTTAATACATTTTTTTATGCGAAGGATAAGAAAAATTTAAGAGAAATCAAAGCAAGCAAAGTAACACGGGCTTAACTTTAATTAATAATACAATTACTTATTCCGAATGATTATTTTACTTGTTTACCAATTTAGTTTCAAGAAAAGCAATTCTAGTAGAGAGTAAGTACGTAAAGGTTTGTTTTACTAACACGGCAAAGTACGAAAGTTCTCAACTGTCTGACCACATCGAGTCTGTACTACTTCGCTCAACTGAACGCCTTCAAAAATTTAGTTATTCACCTATTGCCATATGTGTCACTACGTAACACATTTTTTAGACAATAAAATTTTAGATCTACAAAAAAAGACAGGAGATTAAAAATTGGTAGTATAGCATTGCAGCGTTTCCGACGTCAAATTTCATAAAAAAATTTTCGTCAAGTTTTTCTGATAGTTGACAAATATATTTTTTTAATAGCTAGATGCCCAAATAAAATTTTTTAAGCTCCACTCTTTTAGTTTTGTTTATTCTTTTACTTAATTTAATGTTCATTAAATTTTCAAAAAACATATTTACGTAATTGATTTATTTTCATTTTTCAAATTGTCTATACGTATACTTGTTGAGCAAGCATTGATTAGTGGTTATTGGAAAAAAAATTTTCGACATCTGTATCAAACGTAAGGAGCTTATAGTGAACATTCATTATGAGAATTGCAGTTAAATAACAATTAAATTAAATTATCTAGAATCCTGGTCAGGGCTCATTGTGTTAAAGAGTAGACCGAAAAATAATATCTGAGTTTAAATAATTTTTACTTCAGGACAATGGGACCATCTTACCAACTGTTCGTGTGGCGGAATCAAACAAATGAAAAACAGATATAAATTATAACAGAGTTTGTATATTTGTATAATAAATAATGAAAATTTCATGGAACTGAATAATTTTGATTTTTTTAGTTTATCGAAAATAACAATTATTATTACATGAACAAAAATTAAAA